GTAGATTGCTGCAAGAAGGTCATAGGGACGACATCTTCTGACCTCCTCTAACTTCAAAAGAGAGAGGCAAATCACCATCAGTAGCCCAAGGCTTATTCCTATGAGGCCAGACATACTGCCATCCTCCAACCTTTTTACTAACGCTGACGCTAGCCTTCCCTCCCATGGCCCTCACTACTTCTCTCCTGGGTTTGATAATTCGTTGCAATGGCCACACAGAACTCACAGATAATACTCAAGATTATGGAGTTTAGTAGGAAAATAAAAGGTTTCAATTTAGGAATGTTCTCAGGATACAGTTCTTCAATCAGGACAGTCACCCCTCTGCTATGCCCTCAGGCATACCTCTTTGGCCCTTGGCCTCTGCCCTGCTTGTGTGTTGCAAAGCGCTTTTTAGCTTTGCTGATAGGGACACCAAATGCACCACACTTGTGCCTCTTGGTTCCACTGCCACCGTCTCTTTGCCAGTGTGTCTCTGCCAAGGAGGTCCAGTGCAGGATGCAGGAATCTTGGGTCTAGGGACGTGTTCTGCTCCACTCCACCTCTGACTAGTCTCTCTTGATGGCAGTGAGATCCCTGCTCTCCCCCACCCTCCCCAGCCAGCTTCTAGGAGGGCCCATTTTAAGCCCCGCAGCATGGCAAAACTAACCAATCCTCACATTAGAGTTCCATATACCTTATTTGCATGGTCCCATCCAGTAATCTGGTGGGAGTTAAAAAGACACAGCTAGAAAAGCCAGACCAAGTAATTCACTGCACCACAATTGCCCCATCACTCTTCTGTGGAGGCTGGTTGGTGGGTTTGAACTGCTGACCTTCTGCTTAGCAGCCAATTGCCTAATCTACTACACCACTAGAGCTCCTACATATATATGTTAGTGACCTTGATGATATATATATATATACACATAATTTTTTTTTACCTCTAGTAGTATTTATGCTGTGTATGTTTATTTCAGGATTTCTCAATCTTGGCCAGAAATTCTTTGTTTTGGGGGACTATCCTGTGCATTGTAGGATGTTTAGTAGTGTACCTGGCCTCTACCCACAAGATGCCAGTATTTACCCATCTCCTCCTTTGTGACAATCAAAAAATCTCCAGAACCTGCCAAACATTGCCTGGGTGGCAAAATATCTTCAGCTTGAGAACCAGTGTTCTAGGTGATGAAGTTTAATTATTGAAACAAATGTTAGAGCAAATGTTCCACAAGATAATCTAGATGAAAGATTAGAAAGTAAGCAACTACTTCCTGACCACTTCTGGACCACTTCCACAGTACCCTATGCTTTTCACTGTCATGGCTCTTGGTATACATATTATAGTGGTGTTTATCTGTTCTCCACTGTCCTTCTTGAGGATTGGAGCTATATGATAATCATTGTATCTCTTTTAAATTGCAGTGAGCCAACAGATTATGTAGTTGAATGTATAGCTGTACAAATAAGATTTTTTTTTGTGTGTGTGTGTGTGTGCTATTCTCTAATTGTGACAATTTTACACAGCTATAAAATGTGTTGTCCACATACAAGAAGATCTTTGAAATCCAGCCGTCCTATGTATGGAGCTGTCACCTCTTTTTTACACTCACTGATCATTCATAATGAACCACGATTTGCTATGTTTGGACCAGGTTTGGAAGAATTGAATACATCTTTGGTGTTGAGCTTGATGTCATCCGAGGAACTTTGCCCAACTGCTGGTTTGCCTCACAGGCAGATTGATGGTAATTTTCATGTTAATTTACAGTATATAATAATTCAACCAATTGTGCTTGATACTAATGTTAAATAGAAAGTCATTCATTTTTTTTTTTTTTTTTTTGAAAGTCATTCATTTTTAAATTAACTTTTTGATGTAGTGAAATACAGTAATTTGGTGAATGGCAGCTGCTCCCTGCCCTCCAACATCACCTCAATGGACTCAAAGAATTTACTTATTATTAAGATGCAGACATCTTCCTTATTCCTCAAGTTCTGATACAGAATTTAAGATTATATGAAAGTAAATTATGTTTTATCTATATGTATTTGTATAGGATACCATATTTACCATATTTTAAGAGAAAGCAAAAATCATTCAGCATCTGGAATTTCAATAAAAAGCTAAATCATCAGTAACCCATATTTCTGTGGGAGAAATGTATAGTTAGTTGGCAAAGCAGGATATAAAATATAATGTAAATAACAATATAATCTAGCGTATTCTTTACTTACTTCATGTACAGAGTGCACCTATTAGATGCTAGGGGTGCAGAGATTTAAAATAACAACAAAGAAATCTTTGTCTTCTCTGAAGATACCTGGTCTAGGTGAGAGGTAGAAAAGTATACAAGTAATTAGACTATAATGTAATTAGTTCCTGAGTAGAAATGTGAGGGTCAAAGAAGGCTTCACAGTGAAGATAATGTCTCACATGAGTCATTAGGACGAGTAGGAATGGTGGTGTTGTTAGGTGCCCCAGAGTTGGCTCCAGCTCACAGTGACCCTGTGTCGAACAGAATGAAACACTGCCCAGCCCTGCTCCAGCTTCACAATCCTTGCTGTGCTTGAGCCCATTGTTGCAGCTACTGTGGCAATCCAATTCATTGACGATTTTCCTCCTTTTTGCTGACCCTCTATTTTACCAAGCATAATATCCTTCTCCTGAGACTGATCGCTTCTGACAGCTTGACCAAGGTAGGTGAGATGAAGTCTAGCTATTTTCACTTCTAAGGAGCATTCTGGCTGTACTTCTTGCAGGACAGATTTGTTTGTTCTTCTGCCAGTCAGTGGTTATTTTTAGTGTTTGCCAACACCACAATTCAAAGGCATCAATTCTTCTTTAGTTCTTTATTCATTGTTTGGCTTCCACATGCATATGAGGCTATTGAAAATACTATGGCTTGGGTTAAGTACACCTTAGTCTTAAAAGTGATGTCTTTGCTCCTTAACATTTTAAAGAAATCTTTTGCAGCAGATTTTCCTGGTGCAGTATGATGTCTGATTTCTTGATTGCTTCATCCATGGTTGTTGATTGTAGAGCCAAGTAAAATGAAATCCTTTACAACTTCACTCGTTCTCCATTTATCATGATGTTGTTTATTGTTCCAGTTACGAAGATTTTTGTTTTCTTTATGTTGAATTGTAATCCATATCGAAGACAGTAGTCTTTAATCTTCATCCTTAAGTACTTCAAGTCTTCCTCACTTTCAGCAAGCAGGGTTGTGTCATCTGCATCTTGTAGCTCGTTAATGAGTCTTCCACAAACCCTGATGTCTTGTTCTTTTTATAGTCCAGCTTCTCGGATTATTTGCTCAGCAAACAGATTAAATAAGTATCATGAAAGAATACCACCCTGACTCACACCTTTCCAGATTTTAAACAATGCAGTATTTCTTATTCTGTTCAAATGACTGCCTATTGGTCTATGTACAGGTTCTTCAACAGGACAATTAAGTGCTCTGGAATTCCTGTTCTTTGCAGTATTATCCATGATTTGTTATGATCCACACAGTTGAATGTCTTTGTATAGTCAATAAAACACAGGTAAATATCTTCTTGGTAGTTTTTGCTTTCAGCCTAGATCCATCTGACATCAGCAATGATATATCCCCCATTCCACATCCTCTTCTGAATCCAGATTGAATGTTTGGCAGTGTCTTGTTAATATACTGCTGCAACAGTTTTTGAATTATCTTCAGCAACATTTCACTTGCGTGTGATATTAATGATATTGTTTGGTAATTTCCACATTCTGTTGGGTCACCCTTCTTTGGAATGAGTACAAATATGCATCCTTCCAGCCAGGTGGCTAAGTGCTAGGTGGCTGTCTTCCACATTTCTTCACATAAACAAGTAAGTGCCTCCAGTACAGCATTCATTTGTTGTAACATCTCAGTAGATAGTCTGTTAATTCTTGGAGCCTTGTTTTTCTCCACTTCCTTCAGTGCAGCTTTGACTTCTTCAATACCGCTGGTTCTTGATCATATGCCACCTCCTGGAAATGATGAACATTGACCAGTTCTTTTCGGTACAGTGACTCTGTGTATTCCTTCAGTCTTCTTTTGATGTTTCCTGTATCATTTAATATTTTGCCCACAGAATCCTTCAGTATTGCTATTCAAGACTTGAATATTTTATTCAATTCTTTCAGGTTGAGAAATGCCCAGCATGCTCTTCCCTTTTGGTTTTCTAACTCTAGGTCTTTCCACATTTTATTATAATACTTTGCCCATGAGCGAATGAAGGTCCCAGAAGCTTTCCTCCATTCACATCATTAAGTTTGACTATACCGTGAGGTGGTAGCTCTTTTCCCAGTCATATTTTGAGTGGTTTCTGACTTGAGGGGCTCATTTCTAGTACTGTATCAGACAGTGTTTCACTGCTATTCGTTTATAAAGTTTTCCAGTAATATATCAGACATTGTTTCATGGCTATTCATGAGGTTTTCAGCGGCCGCTTTTTTCAGAAGTGGATGGCCCTGTACTGCTTTCCCTCTTTCTTACTCTGGAAGCTCCACTGGAAGCTGTTCACCACGGGTGACCCTGCTGTTTTTTGAAATACCAGTGGCATAGCTTTCAGCCTCACAGCAACACGAAAGCTACCACAGGATGACAAACTGACAGGTGAGTGGTGGTGAGTAGGAATAGGCTATCAAAAAAGAACAGTGTAAAAAGTATTCTAGGCAGTGAGGATTACTTTTGCAAAAGTACAAAGGTCTTGATGTGCATGACATATTGGGGTAGTTCTTTGTACCTAGGAAGAGAGGGGTTAGGTGAGAAGACAGTGGTATGCTCTCCTTAAGCATTTGGGAGCCATTGAAAGATTTTAATCAGGGGAGTGAGATGATCAGGATTGCATTTTAGAAACATTATTCTGAGATTATTACTGAGTGGAGAATGGATTAGAAAGGGCTAGAAACATGGAAACCTGGTAAGAAGCTACTAAAATGTAGTGATAAAAATATGAAGAGGATCTGAACTAAGTCACTGTTAGTGGCAGTGGTGTTGATAGAGTAAATATTAAGATGTGAATTTGACAGAATGAATGTGTATTAGCAGTAGTAAGGATGACTCCAGGTTTCTGGCTTGGATTTCATGTTGGGTGATAGTGTCATTCGTCAATATTTTTATGAATTGGACATAGCATCTTTTCTTCCACCCAAACATTGCATTCAATACCAAAGGTATGTATGATTTGTCATAGAGGTGTTTTTGTTTGTTTGTTTGCTCTTTTTGATTTCACTAAATATTATCTTTCCAGTTTGATCTGTTTAAGGAGCTCTGTTGGTGTAGTGGTTAAGGCATTTGGCTGTTAACTAGGAGATTGATGGTTCAAACCCACCAGCTGCTCTATAGAAGAAAGAGAGGTGATCTGCTTCCGTAAAGATTTACAGCCCTGGAAACCCTGTGAGGGTTGCTATGAGTCAGAATTGACTTGATGGCAGTGAGTTTCATTTTGAGTTTTTAGTCTCATCTTTGGTTTAATCATGACTGTTTTTCTTATTGTAATTTTCCCCTTCAGGTATTGGATCAGGAGTCAATTTTCAGTTGAGCAGCCAACATAAATTCAACATCCTAATATTATATTCAACTACCAGGTAAGGCTACCTATTTAGTGGCCTACCTGAGACACCAGGAATGAAACATTTTAAAGGAATGGAACCTACTTAGTATCTGTGTTTCATATTTATTTTTCTTATAGAAAGGAAAGAGATAGAGCAAGGGAAGAGCACACAAGTGCAGTTAACAAGATATTCAGTCTACAGAGTAAAGGAAATGATCAACAGGGAAGCCGGTACAGTGTGATTCCACAAATTCAGAAGGTGTGTGAAGCTGTAGATGGGTTCATCTATGTTGCAAATGCTGAAGCTCATAAAAGTAAGCATTCTCTTATTTTCTTTTAAAAACATTGTTGTGTGTGTGTTTGCAAAGCAAAGAAGAATATGTTTTCAGTCTTTTAGTTTTACTTTTTACTGGGCCTTCTTAAAAATATGATGGTTAATTTAGCAATGTAATTTTATGATTATTACTGTTAATAGTAAGTTCCCAAACCTGATGTGCATTAGGATTACTGAGGAGCTTGTTAAACATACAGCTGCCTAAGGCTTACCCTGGTGGTGATTTAGGAACTTGGATTGTGTCAGGTAATTCTGATGCATACCAAAGGTCGATAATACAGCTATATAGTACTTTTGTGTTGTATACCTCCTCAGTTTTTGCATTAATGTTGTTGCCTACTCTGGCAATATTAAAATAATTTGTACAGTTAACTGTTAAAAATTTTACCTTTGCTTTAATTAATCAGATAATAGAGAGGTATGTGGGATGGAGTATTTATCTTAATTAAGTAGATTAGTTAAGAACACTTGCTATAAATAATCTGAATAATTGCCATTTGCAATGCTATATAGATTTGGAATCAGAGTATTGTTATACAGTCCAATATTATTATTTCTTCCTTAAATCTTTTATAAACAGGTAGGATATAACTATTTTCAAAAGTGTGTGTATATATACACTTTTGAATTTCTGTTGAATTTGTACTCTGAAGATCCGGAGAAAATTATTCATAAGAAAAGTTTTCAGTCTTCTGCCCTGTATCACCCCATAAAACAAGTAGACAAATAAATAAAGATTTTTTAAAAAATGTGTACAGAAACCCTGAGAAAGAAAATCTGGCACTACAAATTTTTCTCAAAGAACAAGGTAACAGCAGTTCACTGTTGAAGGAATTTGGTTCTCTGAAGGTAACTATAGCAACAAAAGCCAAATACAGCTCAACTACTGACTAAGTTGACTCAACTCAGAATATCAGTGATCTTTAAAAGAAGAAATATGCCCATTGCTGGAAGCAAATCCTATGTACCTCAGACTGTATTATTGTTCTATACAAAATGCCTAGCATTCAAATAAAAAATATAAGACAAAAGTCAGAGTGAAATGACCCGTTGTTAAGAGATAAAGCAGAAATTTGAACCAGACCCAAAGATGTCCTAGATGTTGACACTCTCAGAAAGTGATGTTAACATAACAATGATATAAAAAAATATGAAATATACTCAGAATGAATTTAATAAATGTGCAAGATTTGCAAGATTTATCTGCTGAAAACTATAAATCATTATTGTGAGATATTAAAAAGAATGGATACATGGAGAGATTAAGTGACAATATTGTTAAGGTGTCATTTCTTTTCAGATTTATATAGAGAGTCAACACAATTGTGATTAAAATCTGATCAGGCATATTTTGTAGAAATTGACAAGCTTTTTCAGTAATTCATGTATAAATGCATGTTGTTTAAAGAAGCTAAAACTTTTGATAAAGAACAACGTTAGAACACCTGCTTGATTATAGGACTAACTATAAAGCTACTTTAATAAAGCCAGTGTGATATTAGCATATGAGTAGACATAAAGAACAATCAAACACAATGGTCAGTCCAGAAATAGACCCACACATATGTGATCAACTGATTTTAAACAAACGTGCCAACATAATTCAATAAGGAAAGGATAGTGATAGTCTAGTCAACAAACAGTGCTAGAACAATTGCATATCCATATGGAAAAACTAAACCTAGACCCTACTTCACTTATATACAAAAATTAACTTGTATTATAGATATCATTGAGAGAGATAACATACAAAACTTCTAGAATAAAACAGTGAAAAACAGTATTTTACTTTGGGTTGTGCATAGCTTTCTTAGATAAGACACAAAAACCATAATCACAGAATTGATAAATTGGACTTCTTCAAAAGTAATATCTGCTTAAGAAGTTACTTTTAAGAAAATAAAAATACTAGCAAACAACTATGAGAAAATACAATGTTTGTAGAACACATGTACTTGTATTCAGAATATATAAAGAACTGTTGTTGCTGTTGTTACTGTTAGGCGCCTATGTACAACAGAAGGAAACACAGCCCAGTCATGTGCATCCTCACAATCATTGCTGTGCTTGAGCCCATCGTTGTAGCTACTGTGTCAGTCCATCTCCTTGAAGGTCTTTCTCTTTTTTTACTGATGTTCTACTTTAACAAGCATGATAAAGAACTGTTGTTGCTGTTGTTAGGTGCTGTCGAGTCATCTCTGACTCATAGTGACCCTGTGTACAGCATCCATTTTGGTCTTTTCTTCCTTTCCTGTCTTTTTAATGAGCTTTCTTTCTTCATGGATGGTGTTCTTGATGTCATCCCACAATTTCTCTCGTTTTCAGTCCTTGGTTTCAGTGCATCAAATCTATTCTTCAGATGGTCTCGGAATTCAGGAGGGATATAATCAAGGTCATATTTTGGCTCTTGTGGACTTGTTTTAATTGTCTTCAATTTCAACTTGAATTTGCATATGTGCAGTTGATGGTCTGTTCCACACTCAGCTTATGGCCTGGTTTAACTGAAGATGTTGAGCTTCTCCATTGCCTCTTGCCTCAGGTGTAGTCAGTCTGATCCTGTGTACTCCATCTGGTGAAGTACACGTTTATAGCCACTGTTTGTGTTGTTGAAAAAAGGTATTTTCAGTGAATAAGCCATTGGTCTGGCAAAATTCTATCATGTGATCTCTGGCATTATTTCTATCACCAAGACCATATTTTCCAACTACTGGTGATTCTTCTTAATCACTAGGGATTAATCAGTTGTTGTTGTTGTTAAGTGCCGTCGAGTCGTTTCCGACTCATAGCGACCCCATGCACAGCAGAACGAAACACTGCCCGATCCCGCACCAGCCCCACA